TTTTTTTTTTTTAGATATATAGTTTGCCACAATCAAAATTTATATTCCATTAGCATAGAATTTTCCATGTCCTCTGGTATAGTCAGTCAGTCTCCTTCCCTTGCCCTACTCAGTTCCCTGGCAACCAATGATTGATTTTCTGTCCCTGTTGTTTTAACTTATTCAGAATATCATGTAAATGGGATCACACAGTATGTAGCTATTTCTCTGGCCTCTGACTTAGCATGATGTGTTTTCGAGTTATTCATGGTTATTCAATTTTCCTTTCCCCTTTTCCCCCAGCCCCTGGCAACTACTATACTATTTTTCTGTCTCTGTGTCAAGTTTTAATTTATTTTTATTTTTTGAGGTACTGGAGATTGAACCTAGGGATGCTTTACCACTAAGTTACATCTCTAGCCCTTTTTATTTTTTATTTTGAGATAGTCTTGCTGAGTTTCTGAGGCTGGCCTCAAATTTATAATCCTCTTTCTTCAGCCTCCCAAGTAGCTTGGATTAAGTTTTTATTGTTTTAATTGTGGTAATACATATAAAGTTTATCATTATAACTTTTTTTTTGCATACTGGGGATTAAACCCAGGGTCACTTTACCACTGGGCTACATCCCCAGCCCATTTTAGTTTTTATTCTGAGACAGGATCTTGCTAAATTGCCAAAGCTGACCTCAAATTTGTGATCCTCCCTGTAAGCAAAAATAACCAACACAGCTTCAGTACTATAATGAAAACACAAATAACCGGGATGGAAGCAAACCTCAAATGGATTAGCAAGCTCTCCTTTATTCTACAGTGAAGTCAATCAGTCAGGCTTGGGAGGGCTTATTTTCTGGGTTCGGAATGGCCCCAGGGTTACAGAAGAAGTCTTGAGTTTTATAGTTTACAATAAGGGTGAATTAATCATTGAAGACTACAGAGGTGCTGTTCCGACCTAGTTGTGCAGGTTAAAATTTTAACTCAGGAAGGCAGTTGTAAAAAGTTTGTCACTGGGAATAGCTCAGAACTGGGTTTTCATTGCTTATCTTCCTTCCTCTGAGACCCATTGTTAGCTAGAGCTTCACTATTTGCTTTTCTCCTTCTAGGACTCATTGGCAATGGGAAAGGGTAAAAGTCCAGGGCCCAGCGTTTCTGTATCTACCTCCTCTCTTCAGGACACCCACTGTGGTTGCGAAGGGATGAATGTTTGCTTTTTTTGGAGACGCTGGGGATGAATCCAGGAAGGGATGAAAGTTTGCTTTTTCCTTTGGGTCCCATTGTTACTGGGAAAGGAGGTTCTGGGAGAGGTTTAATGTTTGGCTAATTCCCTCCCTCCTCCTGAGCCACACTGTCCCTCCGTTTTTTCCCAGGGGGCTGTCGTGTGGGAATATTATTTTCCATAACCTTTCCCTCCTGTCTTAACCTTCTGAATCACTGGGATTATAGGTATGTGCCACCCACACCTTGCTCCATCTTAACTTTTCAATTTTTAWTTTTGCAGTGTTGGGGATTGAACCCAGGGCTTGATGCATGCTAGGCAATTGCTCTACCACCTAACCTCTTAACTGATTTTAAATGTACAGTTCATTGCCCAGCATAGTGGCACATGCCTGTAACCCCAGCAACTCAGGAGGCTGAGGTAGGAGGATTGAAAGTTTAAAGCTTTAAACTTAGTGAGGCCTTAAGCAACTTAGTGAGACCCCTGCCTCAAAGTCAAGAATAAAATGGGCTGGGGACGTGGCTCAGTTGTTAAGCACCTCTGAGTTCAGTACCCAGTACCAAAAAATGATATGAACCATCACCACCAACCATCTCCATAACCTTTTTTATTTTGTAAAACGAAGACTCTCTCTATACTCATTAAATAACAATTTTCCTTTCCCCTTTTCCCCCAGCCCCTGGCAACTACTATACTATTTTTCTGTCTCTGTGTTTTGACTGTTTACCTCATATAAGTGGAATCATACAGTATTTGTCTTTTTGTAACTGTCTTATTTCACTTAGTGTAATGTCCTCAGAGTTCATCCATGTTGTTGCATATGTCAGAATTTCTTTCCTTCTTAGGGCTGGATAATATTCCACTGTATGTATATTTCACGATTTGCTTATCTATTTATCTGTTGATGGATACTTGGCTTACTTCCCTGTTTTAGCTGTTGTAAATAATGCTGCTATGAATGTAAGTATCACWTTTTTTTGAGGGGGGGGTACCTGGCATTGAACTCAGGGTACTTAACTATTGAGCCACATCCCCATCCCTTTTTTGGATTTTATTTAGAGACAGAGTCTCACTGAATTGCTTAGGRCCTTGCTAAATTGCTGAGGCTGGCTTTGAACTTGCAATCCTTTCTGCCTCAGGCATGCATTTACAAGTATTTTATTGCTGAGTAATATTCTATTAAATGGTTAGACTGTCATATCCATTTGTCTGTTGATGTACATTTGGACACTTGGCTTACTTCCTTGAGGAATCACCAATAAGTTGGAATGGTGATTATGAATAAAGCCAAAATAAATAAGCCTTCTCATATAAAATTCCAAGGACCATATGTCTTCTTTTTTCTTGGCTATGTAGCTAAGAATGTGATTTTTGGATTGTTTAACTTTATAGGGAACTAACAAATGGCTTCACTATTTTGTATTTCCACTAGCAATGTAAGAGTTCCAGTAACTCTTCATCCTGGTCAGCTCTTGATATTGCCAGTTTTGTAAAAAGTCCCTTAAGCTGGGTACATTGTTGCACACCGTATTCCCAGAGACTTAAGAGGCTGAGGCAAGGTGATCATAAGTTCAAGGCCAGTATCAGCAATTTAAGGAAACCCTATAGGTATGTAGTGGTAACTCATARTGGTTTTAATTTGCATTTCCCTAATGATGTTGAATATCTTTTTATGTCCTTATTTGATATCTGTATATTTTCTATGGTGGCATATCTTTTCAGACCTTTTGTTCTTATTAAAAATGACATTTTTTTGTTATTGAGTTATGAAAATTCCTTATCTATGTAGATACCAGTTTCTTAGCTGAGCATGGTATCCCATGGTTATAATCCCAGAGTTCGATCCCCAGTATCAAAATAACAACTACAAAAAAATGATAGTTTCCTTTTTTAATTTATATTGTTCTCTTTTTAAAAGTGTGTGTGTATGTGTGTGTGTGTGTAAATGTGGCTCTAGGAATTGAAGCCAGAACCTTTCACATGCTAGGCAAGAACTCTATCCCTGAACCATATCCCCAGCCCATTTTGGGTTTTTTGTTTATTTGTTTGTTTGTTTGTTTTTAGTACTGGGGATTGAACTAAGGATGCATTACCACTGAGCTACATTTACAGCCCTATTTTTGTTTTGTTTTGAGACAGTGTCTTGCTAAAAAGCTAAGGGTCCCTCTTAAATTGCTGAGGCTGGCCTTGAGCTTCCAATCCTCCTGCTTCAGCCTCCCAAATTGCTGGAATTACAGGTCTGTGCCACCATGCCCCAATTTCATTTCATATTTTATTTTGAGAGGGTCTTGCTAAATTGCCCAAACTGGTCTGGCACATGCAATCTTTCTACCTAAGCCTCCAAATAGCTGGACTTACAGACCTATCCTACCACCATGCCTGGATCAGAAGTTCTGTTGTTTTAAGTTTTACAGTTAGTTCTGATCCATTTGAATTACCTTTGTATATAGTGTGAGATTACTTCTGTCTCCTCCTCCTCCCCCTTCCTCTCTTCCTTCTCTTCCTCTTTTTTCTTCTTTCATGTGGTTATCTACTTGTTCTCACACCTTTTGTTGAAAATATTTTTTTCTTTTTTGGGGGGTGGTACTGGGGATTGAATTTATAGGTATTTTATCACTGAGCCACACCCCTATTCCTTTTTATTTTTTATTTTGAGACAGGGTCTTACCAAGTTTCTTAGGGTCTTGCTGAGTTGCCCAGGCTAGCCTCAAATTTGAAATCCTCCTGCCTCAGCCTCTGGAGTCTCTGGGATTATAGACATACACCACTACACTTGCTTCTTTTCTTTTTTTAAATTAAGATTTCTCCAGGCCGGTGTTGTGGCTCAGTAGTAGAGCGTTTGCCTAGCATGTGTGAGGCACTGGGTTTGATCCCTGGCACCACATAAAAATAATAAAAATAAAGAGATGTTGGGTCCACTGAAAACAAAAAAAATAAAATTAAAAAAAAATAGTGAGTTGATTTGGGCTGAGTTGTGGCTCAGTGGTAGAGCACTTTCCTTGCACACATGAGGCCCTGAGTTCGATCCTCAGCACCACATAAAAACAAATAAATAAAAAATAAAGATATCGTGTCTCTTTACAACTAAAAAAATATTTAAAAAACAATGAGTTGATTTTTTAAAAATGTTTAATAAATAATAGTTTATCTAGTTTGCCAATCTGGAAAGGTAGTACACTGCATGGTATGTGTAAAAATTATATGCAAAAATTACACTTTCTTATACCTAAAATATTAGTATATTCCTATTTTATAGACGGGGAAACCAGAGATTTGAAAAGGCCAAAATTCACAGAACCAATTAAGTTGTTTGGATTTATGGGAGTCTGCTTGACTTCATATTTTTAATTATATAGG